CACGTTATGTCACTGTCGATGCCCTGATTTTGACATTCTGCTACTGTTATGTAAGAGGTACCCACTGGGGGAAACGGGGTCAAGAGTACATGAGACTTCTCTATACAATCTTTGCAACTTCCTGTGAAGCCATAATTATTTTCAATACGAAGTTTTACTTTTTAAAGGGTTTCTTAGGGGCCGGCCCCGTGGCTTAGCGGTTAAGTGCGCGCTCTGCTGCTGGCGGCCCGGGTTCGGATCCCGGGTGCGCACTGACGCACCACTTCTCCGGCCATGCTGAGGCCGCGTCCCACATACAGCAACTAGAAGGATGTGCAGCTATGACATACAACTATCTACTGGGGCTTTGGGGGGAAAAAATAAATAAATAAAATTATTTAAAAAAATAAAAAATAAAAAAATAAAGGGTCTCGTAGACTTTGAACGAGATCCTTACTATTTTCTCTGTGGACACTACGATTTGAAATATTTTATCTAACAAATTGCATGCATTAAGATAATTCCTTTGCCCACATTTATTGATCAAATATATATATAATTGTCTTCACAACTTTCAGAAAAATACAATTTCCAGATGGATCAAAGATATAGGTAAAAAAATGAAACCAGATAAACAGAGGAATATAATGAAGCATGCTTTTTATTACTTTGCGGTAGAGATAAGTGTGCTAAGCTATGATAAAAAAAATTTTAAAGAAATATTTGACAGTAGCAACAATATAGATATTTAAAACTCCAGTAAAATGCAAAAGAAAAAAAGGCAATGCTACAAATGAAATTCCAAGACAAATGATCAAGTGTGGAAAATATTTTCAGCATCTATGGCAATCCAAAGTAAGGGGGATGAACGAGGACATCCCAAATCACATACAAACACAAATCCCTAAGAATCTGTAACAAGAGAAACCACCAGTGACCAAGTAGACGCAAATGAAAATAAAGAACATCATTCGTATAAGAGCTTGGCAAGGATAAAGACTGACACAACCCAGGATAAAGAGGATAGAGGCAGGTACGAGGACACAGCCAAAATCGGAAAAATAATTGATAGACATCAACTACAGGGCAGTCTGACAACATGTATACGTGCCAAAATGTAAAATATGCCATACTAACCCAGCAGTTACATTACTAGGTATTTAGCTAAGGTAACAATGGCATAAGAGCAAAGACAATAATAAATAAAATTAAAATGCTTGCTCAAGGCCATTCACCTCAGTAATGTTTGTTTGTTTGTTTTTATCAGGGAGAAAAATTAAAAACAATCCTCAATGTCAATCAACTGGAAACTGATCAAGGAAAATTTATGGCCCATGCATACAATGAAATGCTGTGTGGCCCTTAAAAATGACAAAACTCAGGGCCGGCCCGGTGGCACAAGTGGTTAAGGGCACGCGCTCCGCTGCGGCGGCCCGGGGTTCGCTGGTTCGGATCCCCAGCGCACACCGACACACTGCTTGGCAAGCCACGCTGTGGTGGCGTCCCATATAAAGTGGAGGAAGATGGGCACAGATGTTAGCCCAGGGCCAGTCTGCCTCAGCAAAAAAAAGAGGAGTATTGGCAGATGTTAGCACAGGGCTGATCTCCTCACGAAAAAAAAAAAAAAAATGACAAAACTCTACATTCACTGAGTGCTCTTGGTCAGGAAGCACAGCACAGCAGTCAAAAGCACAGACCCTGCAGCCATACTGCAGCGGGTTCAGAATCCAGCTCCGCCGCTTTTGGGCTGTGTGATCTAAGCAAACTCGTCAGCCTCTCTGTGCCTCAGTTTTCTCTTCTGTAAAAGGGGGATAATAATAGTGCCTACTTCTTAAGGTTGCTATGAAAATTAAATGAGCTAACAGTTGCAAAACACTGAGAACAGTATCTGTAACATAGAAAGTGCTACAAAACAGCTTGTTAAATAAAAAATATGGACATGAAAAATTTATCTGCTATATTAGTAAGTGAAAAAAGATCATAGAACGTTAAGTACGACCCCATTTCTGAAAAATGTATGTGGGTATACAAAGAAGGGAGAAGGATCTGTCTTTTCTTTTTTATACAGTATAAGAGTCATTACGCCTAGGCAGTGAAATTCTGGATTATTTTTACTTTTTTCTTGGTATTTTCTGTATCATTACTGGTATTAAAAAAGCAAACAGGGGCTGGCCCCATGGCATGGTACTTAAGTTTGGCGCATTCCACTTCAGTGGCCCTGCAGGGTTCGCAGGCCCAGACCGGGTTCGCAGGTCTGGATCCCAGGCTCGGACCTACACCACTCATCAGCCATGCTGTGGCAGCAACCCACATACAAAGTGGAGGAGGACTGGCACAGAAGACAGCTCAGGGACAGTCCTCCTCAAGCAAAACAAGAGGAAGATTGGCAACAGATGTTAGCTCGGGGCTAATCTTCCTCAGCAAAAAAAAAAAAAAAAAAAAAAGATAATATCCAATAGGCACTCTCAAACACTTTTGGAATCTAAATCGGTGTAAGCTTTCCAGGGAGAATTTTGCAATATGTAATACACTTCTGACCCAGGAATTTATCCTATAAAAATAACAATACAAGTCTACCAAGAAAAGACTTGTAGATGACATAAACACATAACATATAAACACACATAAGCACATACATATACGTACACAAATAGGAATATTTATTAAAGCAATATTTATAACAGCAAAAAATTGGAAATAACCTAAGTTTCGTCAGTTGTACCATGGTTGATACAAACAATGGAATATTATACGTCATGGAAAACGATGCCATGGAGCTCTATGGAAAGATCCTTTCGGTGAGGGCCTTGAATACCCAGGTGAGGTGTTTGCACTTTACTATGAGGGGGAGACACTGAAGAACTGTGTTTTAGGAAGAAAACCCTGAGGGCAGTGCAGAGTGGGGAACATCCAGAGACCCGAATGAACTTCTCAGGCTGCCGCACGTGAGACCTAGGCCTGAGGTCTGGCGGAAGAAGCAGCAAGAATGTTTTGAAAAACAGCAAAATCCCTAATTTCTAACCATAATTTTGCAAAGAAGCCCAGGAGTGTCTCAGAAGGAGCCTGATGGGATAAATCGCGTGAAGGCACAAACAGAACAGATTCTCATGAAGACAGCACTGAATGACCGGGGAGACTCGGATTCTCAGGACTCGGGCAGGGACAAACAGCCACCTTGATGGCTAGAGCTGGCCCCTCTGACTACAGTGCAACCACCCTTAACTATCTGTGCGAGAAAAAGAGAGTGGGGGGTGTGCATGTGTGTGTTTGTGTGTGCAAGAGAGAGGGAACAAGAGAGTGAGGGAGAGCAACTCCATACGCAGGTCCAGTGGTTAACAAATCCACCAGAAATTAGCGCTTCAGAGGCAGCAGAGGTGTGTTCGAACCCTTCCTCCCTCACCCACCTCACTTCTAAAACTATTTGCCAAAAGGACACTAGGCTGGGAAATAAGATGCCGACTCCTCTGAAGTCGCAGCACCCCTGCCTCCATGTCTCACATGGCAATTACTCACACTCCATCCTGAGACAGCCGCCTTCCCGTTGACCTATCTTATCTGAATCCTCATCCATTATGTGCATTAGCCCACACAGCGTAGCAAGGGTTCGCATAGTCACCCTGAGGAGTTCTCTCAAGGAAAGGACACATTTTATACTTTCTACAATTTGCACACACGTTGGCAAGGAGCCGTGGCCACCAACCTAGACGTTTGGTAAATACTGGGTGATGAATTACTCAATAATTCACCCAATCTGTGCTAGGATTTTGCATACCAAGAGTCCTGCTTCACTGTTGGTAGAAGATTATAGTAAAAGACTTAAGAACTTCGGTTCAAAGGCCACGTTCCCTTGCTAACTAAGGGACTCTGGACAAATTACTTAAGTTCTCAGTGTCTACATGCCCTTATCTGTAAAACAGGAAAGATGGCAATATTCCTGTTTCCATATTGCTATAAATAACATAATAGCTAACATTTACTGGGTGCTTTTGATATGGTAGGTACTGTTCTAGGCACTTCACAAGTCCTGCCTCATTTAATCCTCAAAGCAACCATATGAGATAGTACTGTTTTTCATTCCCATTTTACAGATGAGGAAACTGAGGCAGAATGAAGTTAGTAAGTGCTGGAGCTGAGATTTAAACCCAGGCAGCCATATTCCAGAGCCTATGTTCTTAACCAGAACTGTCTCCCACATAACATGCTTAGCATAGTACAAAACACAGTAGGAACTTCTTAAATTCTCAGGCATAGTTTGAAGACTTCAAAAATGGTGCAAGAACCAGACAAGAACAGGACCCACAGCAGGGGTCCTCACCTCTCCGGTGCAGTCTTGCTATTTCATTCCTCCTAGAAGGTCGTCTGTGAGATATGCTATACCACAGCAATGTCATTCCCAGCTCACGTTCACGCCCCCTTCAGCCTCTTTTAGAAGTTGCTTCAGAGGTGAAGCCCAGCCAAGAACTTATGTGGAGGGAACACTCAATATTCTTTATTTTCTTCAAGAAAGCCTGCCACAGTCTAGTCCTCAGCCACCGCTGGCTCATCAAGGTCCCTCACAGGGACCCATGCATCCACTAAGACATCCTCCCTCCTTTAGTCCAAATGCCACCCGAACTGTGACACCAGGCTCACTCCTGACTTCAAGCAGAACGCTGTCTGCTGCTGACCATTTCCTATCCTTTAACATTTCGCGTTTTAAAATCCCACCATCTCACCGAGAAGGTACGCTCCCCAAGGGTGGAGACTGTGTTCTCTCCTCTCTGTAACCAATCCCCAGAGCATCTACTAAAGCACTCCGTGACTTGCACTCTGTGGGGATCAACAACCGGATGACTCATTCAATTCAGAGATTACTTACAGAAAGTGTCTGCGATCATTGCAAAAATAAGCACTTTTCCAGATAGGTGCGACTTGTATAAATATGTGCTATTTGCAAGTAACAACTGAACCAGTAAACACTGACAGAGCGGTGACATCCCCGTGTGAGAAACCGCCACGCTCAGCCCTTGGGCGGCGCTTACCTGCCTCCCCCTCCTCCTCGCCCAGATTCAGCACGATGATGCAGATGTGCTTCCTGAGCTGGCGCGTGTTGGAGAACCTCCTGCAGCATTTGCTGCACTCCAGGCTGCTGGGAGCCAGGCTGCTCCCTTCCTCGTGGGCCGGCGGGCTGTCCTCGCTCGGACTGACCATGTTTTCCGCCAGCTCCTCCTCAGCGCTGGGCTTCTTCGTGGACCCCTTAGGCCTGCCTCTCTTCCTCTTCATGACCGAAAACTCTGTCAAGGAAACAGGAGGACACAATGCCGTCATATGAGGCGACACTGCGGGGCACGCACTCAACTTCCACGTGTGGGAATACGCTCAGTTTCACGTTCTACTAAAAACAAAGTTTGAAGCAGTTCCAGAAATTAAAAACTGCAGATAATATCTTCAGTGCTAATATCTTTGCATCAATATGCTAATATATAATCGATTTTGTAATATTCTGATTGTAAAATATCATTTTATCAGAACCCTTGCACATTCTTCTTTTGTCAAGTGGGGAGGATTTTAAGTTGTGATCGTTGGCCTCCAGTTCACAAATCATGCTTCTTGTTAACCACCACCTCCTTCTAAATCCAGTTCTCAGAAACTGCTTAAGGACTTCTTTGCAAAGGGTTTTCAAAAGCTGCTTAGCTTTTCAAGCTCTTAATGAGTTACGCGACTATTCAGATTATTTCAAGGCATATTAGAGGGAAATTGTTCTGATGAAAAAGACGAAAAATAATTACAATCTAAAGCCACAAATTATGGGACTAAAGACAATAACAATATTTTTCAAGTCTCCTAGCGACCTAGTGATTTTAAATGCCATGATCAGAGCTGCTTAGGAGCAAGTTTCAATTCATTTTACAACTTGCATTTCTTCCTAATTAGCATTCATCTTTAAAGCACTCATCTCTAGGATGAAGGTGGGAATTAAGAGGGGGCAGCGGGGTCAGGGAGCATCATGCCATCCGTGTGAAGCTGGAGTGGTGTGGTCTCAGGTGACTTGACTTGAAGGGAACCAGGAGAGATGCCAGGAAGGGAGCCGGCACTGCCTCGCCGACACCCCAATGTCAGAGCCGTCTGCCTGGCCAAGACACAGCATTTCAGCAGTCCTCTCTGAATCTGAAAGTCAGGGTGGAGGACGGGGGTCTAGGTTCCAGCACCATCTCGGGGGGATGGTCACCGGCAGAATGACGACGTCTTCCAGGTCCCTCCCTGCTCTCTCTAAGGCTATGGCTCTGCACAGGAGAGCATCAGCCACAACACCCACCGCTACCACCGTGAGAAACCTCTAGGCAGGTCACTTGTGCCCCCAAATCAGACAGGCAGGCCACAGTGGCAGAGGAGGCAGGACAGTCCTGGAGTAGAGTGTGCAGGATAAGAGCAGCATGACAACATGGGCTCTGGACAGAGGAGCCCGCTTTGGCACAGGGGCCCCAAGAACTCAGGGAGTGGGGCACCAGAATGGGGGAGGAGCTGGGAGAGAGGGGCCCTTGCGGGAGCAGAGCTTCTGCTGAGCTGCGGTGCCAGGGTGAGTCACTCTTGCCTGAGAGATCCAAACCACAGCCTTCCTCAGCCAGGGCAGCCAGCACAGTCACGGCCTTCCCTCCATCTCCCTGGGCGTGGTATGGACGACAGGGGGAGGAGGAGAGGAAAAAGTGCTTAAGAACAGGAAGGCAAATGGAGAAACAAACAAGGGCACAAGACCCTTTGACCCCTTCGCCCACACTGGATGTCACCAAGGAGAACAAAAGCTGTGCTGACACGAGGCCCAGCCGGTGTGTATGGGAGGCTGGAGGGGGAGGCAGGGAATGGAATACGAAACAGAGTACGGACAAATGGTTTACTTCAAAGCCATTAAAACTTTCCTCCTTATTATTGTTTACAACAGCATGTACTAGTACAACCTAGTGAAGCAGCAATTAACAGTCAGAGAAACAGAATTAGTGGAGAGGCTGTAAAACACCCACCACATGGCATGTCAGCTGCAGAAACACATTGCATACCGGTTTACGGAAGTCTGAGGACGAGCCACTCCTCCGAGATGCTCCATGGGGAGAAGGAACCTCACCTGGTGAGAGGTCTGGCCTCCGCCGTCGGCTACTGGGGGTGACCTCTAGGCCCCTAGAATGTGCTGCGTGAAGGGAGCATCTGTTTGCCTGGGGACTTTGGCCCCCAGACAGTCTAACGGTGTGATTTATGATGGGGGATCTGGAACATGTCACATCAGTTCTGACCTCTGGAGGAAATGGAGACTGGAGGTATAGCCTGATCCTCCAGGAGGGGTGGAGACTGAAGGCCAGCCACACAGGCAGTATGCCATCGAGCCCCCATGAGAACTCTGGACACTAAAGGTTTGGGTGAGCTTCCCTGGTTGGAAATCCTCGAGTCCTGTGACATAATACAGCTGGAGGGAAGCAACAGCATCCAGGACACCAGGGGCCAGGAAGAGGAACAAAAGCTCCACGTTTGGAAGCCCCCCAGTCCCAGATGTCGCCCAAGCATCTCTCCCTTTAGCTGGCTCTGATCTGTACTCTTTTGGTATAATAAAATTGTAATCATGAGTACAGCACTTTCCTGAGTTCTGAGTCATTCCGGCAAACTATCAAGCCTGAGGGAGTCTGTGCGGACCCCAAAATTTGTAGCTAGCTGATCAGAAGTAGGGGTGGCCTTGGGGACTCCCAAATTTGTGGCTAGTGTCAGCAATCTTGGGCAGACATAGCAGGCTTGTGGAGAACCGAGCACTTAACCTCGGGTTAAGTTGCGGAAGCAAACTCACTGCAACAGGGAACCTAGCGTTTTCTGCATGGAGACGTGCCAGAGCACGCGACAGCAACCACAGTGCCCACGGTACGCGAGACTCGGTGCTTGCCACGTAGGAGGAGCACAGCACAGTTGGCCAGACGCGGGAGTTATCTGGGTGTCCCTCAACCACAGACTGGGGACTCCCTGGAGGCACAGTCCTGGTTCTGATTATTTTTCATCCACCCCAGCACCTAACCTGGTATCCTGCACAGCAGGCACCCGATAAATCTTGGTGAATTAAACTGACAAGCAGTGTGCAACCTGGCTGTCAAGGAAGAAACAGAAAATCAGCCCTGAAAGCTTTGGAAAGCCTCTACCACAATGGTGACAAAACTAATCTTACATCTTGCTACATCCATAATTCAGATCCTCAAGACCAATTAGTTAGCTAAAAATGAAATACTCATAAATGAACTTGGAATAATTTAAGCACTGAAAACGAGTTGCTGCTGTCAACTATCCACATTTTATAGAAGAGATGAGAATCCTGGAACTGGACAGGGAAAATCTTATAACTTCTAAATCCAAACATTTTTGTGGAGTTACCTCCAATTCCTCTTCCTCCTCCCTGAATTCCTTTATTCAGTTTGCCACTGAACTCCATGGAGTTTGCCCTAAAGATGTTTGGCCCGTAAGTCCCCTCTCCATTCTCAGGGCACCTTTGTCACCTAGATCCCTGCACACGGTCTCCAGATTCCAGCCTTCTGCTCCAGGCTTTCTCTGCCTCCACTCCTTGTCTCACTGGACATTCCCTAGCTCCAGAACCTTCCATCATTCTGGATGACTTTGTCCCACAACTCTCTGACCTGACTTTCTAGGCCCTTTCATGTGGTTTAACCCTGAGTGCACGTGCACACGCACACACACACATATACACACACACACACAGAACCCACGCCCGCTCTCTCAACTGCTCAGTGTGATGTTCTAGACTTCCCTAAATATGCACCGATAATCCCTGTCTCCATTTACCTATCTGTACTATTCCTCCGGCCTGTGACTACCTCCTGCACCCTCAATCAGACTCCAAACCCCAATTCGAATCCTAACGTTTCAGGCCCAGTTCAAATCTCAGGACCTCCTCCATGAGGCCGTCCCAGCTATTTAGCAGGGACGTCCACCTGCCCAGCTTGCCTCACATTTACAGTGAGAGGTACACACGTGGCGTGCAAGCTCACAGACACACTTCCTGACTGTGTGTTTCTTTTTCCCCACTTTGTATTATACACCCTGAGGTTTCAGCTGCCTTTTAATTCTCGGGTCCAACAGGGTCTCGAACAGAGCTGGCTATGTAGTAGATACTTAATAAGTAAATACATTTTGATCAGTTGCTTAATGATAGTGTTGAATTAAATTTCTAGGCCCAAGATGGAGCCACTCCTGCCCAGGGCGCCATGGCAGCAAACTGAAACTTAGATAACTCTTGTGTCCCTGTAAATGCTCCACCTGACCAGAAATGCAGTCTACCTAGTCAACCAATCCCCAAACGCCAAGCCACCTCTGGGCTTCTACTTCCTTCCTTGTTCCTTATTCTTTATCCTATAAAAGCTTCCTGCCTTCCACCCCATTTTGCAGTTCTCCAAATAAAGACTGTCCACTCCATGAAGTTAAATAAAGTCTGTTTGTAACACCTAAGTTGTCTCCTTTCCTCATTTGTTTAACAATAGGAAAAGAAGCATTTGGAAAACAAGTCATTTCCTGTGTCCCAAGTTTCTCATAAGAAGAAAAGGATGAGCCACAGTGCATCTCAACCCTGTCCCAGGTCCACAGTCTGGGGACAACCTCCTCATAGTCAGAGAATCGTCCTTGCAGATTCAGGGCCAAAAACCAGCAAGGGACAGAAAGAATCGGCCAAAGGCTTTTAAATTCAATCAAAAGACAACATGAGGGGCCAGCACAGTGGGGTAGCGGTTAAGTGTGCACGCTCCACTTTGGCAGCCTGGGGTTCATGGGTTTGGATCCCAGGCGCAGACCTATGCACTGCTTGTCAAGCCATGCTGTGGCAGTGTCCCATAAAAGTAGAGGAGGATGGGCACAGATGTTAGCCCAGGGCCAGTTTTCCTCAGCAAAAAGAGGAGGATTGGCATCGGATGTTAGCTCAGAGCTAATCTTTCTCACACACAAAAAAAGACAACGTGCGCATTATGAAAAAATAGCCCAACATTATGAAAAATCTAATAACATAAGCCTTTTATCTGTGTACATCACTTAAGTTTGCAAAGTACTTCCTCAGCTATTATCTCATTTTATCCACATAAAAACCTTAAGAGATGGATGTAGCAAGTGTAATTTCCTCAATAGGAAAAGAAATGAGAATCCCAAAGGTTCAGGGGCTTGTACATTTTCCAGAACTTGCTGCTGAGCTCGCAGAGTTAGGATCTAGGTTTCCTTCTTCCCGGCCCAGATCTTTCTGCTGAGTCATGCGGCCCTCAGATCAGTGCTA